TATCTATAAAATAATAAAATATAAAAAGTTTAAAAAAAAAAAAAAAAGAACCGATTCAGATTTGACCAGTTCTCAACAATTTTGACCACGTTGAACTTGATTTGACCGAATTATGATCATAAGTGGTTTAATGTGCTAACCCAAGCCATTTCTAGAACGAATACTGGTTGGACCAACCAGTCCGGTTTTAAAACCATAGTTATTCCATCATCTGCCGCCAATATATCAGCAAGAGTTTTGACGGTCAGACATCAAACAAGTAACAAGCAATTTACAGAATCGAATTAAAGTTTACAGGGGTTGTGATAAAATTTTCGAAGATACAATTAGAAGTAACAATTTCTAAAACTACCAAACTGCTCCATTTTCTTTGTTATCACGAATGTAATGCCATCTCCTAGAAGTGGAAAACAACAAGAACATATGAGAGAAAAGGAGAGATTTGAGGATTTGAATATACATCCAAGCATTTAAGTACTCTCTCTTCCGTATCCACTGGTCTCCTCGACAACCTTCGCCCACACGTTTGAAATTTTTTCGGCATACCCTACCTGTGATAGGAACATGGTAAGATGCTAAAAAAGTGACATACATATCATGCGAATCCTTTTGTGGTTTGGTTTGATACAAGAAACATTTGCTATTTTTAATTTGGCGATAAATGAAACAGCCTTAAACATGTTAATTTAGTGATACCACTTCTAACTTTTGTAAATCCATTCATTTAACCTGTACTTACTAAAACAACCCCCATCTCAACATTTATTAAGGAGCCAAAATTCTATCCCATAAAACACACAGCCAACATTCTTTTATTATTTTAGAACTCCGTTTCCAAAAACACTACTGTGCACTTAGAGAGTATGAGAAGATTCAATGCCAAAGAAATGCTTGAACCTTGTGGGATAACACTTTAACAAACATCTAGTAGAGGTTCCAAAGAAAATATTTGGGCGCTGTGGAGGGATTGAACGTTATTAACTTCCCGAGACTCAGGGAGTTTGAGGTACACAAGTGAACATATGAGTGGAAGAGACAAGCCTAATCCTTAGTAGCAACTTTTACTACAGATAGACTATTCTCATTTAAGTGCACTACCACCCACAAATCACCAACAAAATATCAGGTCAAAACATTTCTATGCCTTCACTTTTGACCTTAAGCATCCAAGCACTTTTCCAACCCTCGAAACCTTGAGAATGTTGGGTGAGACTATCTAAATAAGGTGTTCGGTACAAGGTCAAAATTAAACACAAGGTAGTTGGTGAATAAATTCATCGTAATCTTTCTCAAAGAATGTTGCACTCAAATAGGTTTCAGAAACAATGATAGATTAAGCTGAAGAATCCCTATTTAACATTATCAGATCTCTGCGTATTTAGAGCCAAATAAAACAATATAGTTATGCCATATGTGTAGGAAAACAATGATAAAAAGTACCTGATTAACAACAAATCCCCTCAACATGTTCAAGAAATCAGCACGCCTCTCTCTATCAAGTCTTTCAAGCTCACTCTTGTTATTTTCCTGCAAATGTATCATCATCAATCCAACTGCGAAGATGATCAACATAACCGTGCAATTGTATCATTGTTTGATTAAAAAACCAATCAGCTCCCAGAAAATAGGACCACCATCTGTATGGTCAGTATCAGTTCAGGGAAAGGCATTTTGAGAAATAATTACCTTAATACGCTCATATTCATTAATGGCAACATTTTTAGCATCTTCAGTTGCCCTAATGGTTTCTTTTAACTCCTCTATCTTGCGAATCCTAGACTTGTCACCACCAAATATTTTTGACGATGCAGCTTCAAGTTTTTCAGTCCTTGAATTCAAGGAAGATAATTCTGAAAGGAGAGTCTGCACAGTCAATAAAGCACTTGAACGATCTGAATATGCACCATGGACGGCTAACATTAGCCCCAGATATTCATGAAGTGTATCCTGCAATGCACACACAAAATAAAAAAAAGGCATCATGAAAAACCAATTCATTATTCTTTCAAAAAAACAATTCAGTAATTGGATGCAATCACGCAGTGAGCATAGAGTGAACTCTTCTTTTGTCTTTTACCCAAAAAAATAAAAATAAAATCAGTAATCAGTATTTATAAATTGATTAAGCAATCACTGAGATCCCAAGAATAAAAGCTAAATTCCTGCAATACACAATCCATATTCAAGGACAATTAAACCTCATTCCTGAAGTGCTAAAACATAAAACAGAGAAAGGCTTTGTGCATTACCAAATGCTTCACTGTCTGTGCATTCAATTCTCGATAGAACCTGCTAGCTTTGACAGCAGCAGTCGCAAAACATTTCATGTCGGTGGCCCGTACTCTTTGAGAGTTGAAAATAGCTTCCTCATTCTCAAACTTTGTCAGTTTGATAAAAGCTAATCCCAGCTCTCCCATTGTTTCTCCCATATCTTGCTGAGCTTTAACAAGTGCTTCAGCCTTAACAAATCCAGGATATTAAAATAAATATTAGAACAATCACTTTATAACACGATATAAAAGACCATCAACATTTATCTCTCCAAAACCAATAGGATGCATATATTACCTGCTGAGAAGCATTACTGAGTTGCTGCTCAAGATCATGAACCCATTCTTTCTTCTCCAAAAATTCTTTATCTTCCTCAACCACAGCTGGTTTTGAGCCACCCCAATCATTAGCAACCGACTGCTTCAACTCCTTGAACAGCCTCAACAAATCCCTCCCACCTCTTGCAGGCTGCACAACCTCATGTGGCGCCACCACTGCATTGCTCTCTCCCAACAACTGCTTGGGCAGCTTTACTGCGCCATCAAGCATCCGAGAGGCCACATCAGTGCTGGTAGGCAGCGGCATCTTTCCTTGTACCTGCAGAAACACCTTCAGTTCATCACTCAGCCTAATTACAGGATGTGCTGCTAGTCTCCTCAAGTATTTCTCCAATGCAACCCTTCTTTGCTCCACAAATTCTTGCTTCTGCATCACCTGAGATTCGACCACATTTTTATCTGGTCTTGGTGGGATAAAAAACCCTCTGTAAGCTTCCGCTAACCGATCTGCTAATGTTACGACATCTCTAAACCTCCTCCTCACACTGAATTCCGATCCTCGATAATCCGGAATGTTCGTTCTCGTTGCAATCAAATAAGTGGTGAAAGTGTTACTTCCAGGCACAAGCGAATTCGTACTATCGTACTCTTTCTGCGGATTAGAGACTGTAATTTTAATATAATCGGAACTGGAAGATGGGGAACGGGAAAACACCAATGACGAATCGGAATTCTGAGAGTTGGTCTCGACGCCGTTGATTTCGCTGACGGAACTCTCGTCAAAGGGGCTGAAGATGACGTCAGCGTAAGATGGAGGCTCGATGTAGGAGTTGCTATCGTTGGCGCTAGTGCTGCGGTAAGGTGGGGGCGCAAGGAGGGGATCGGAGTCAGCCGGCGTGACGACGATTGGCGGCGAGAGCGGGTGGTGAGTCGTATCGGAGAGTGAAGAAGTAGCGCTGCGGTAATTCGAGTAGGAGTTGCTGTTGATACTGCCACCGTGATCCGATGGGTCGTCGAGCACGAGAGTCTCCATTTCTTCACGGGATACGAGAGGGTGAGCTTCTTCAAAGCCCTGGTTCTCAGACCCCATCATCTTTACTGAATCAATCCCAAAAAAAAAAAAAAAAATGGATGAAATCAAAACCAGAAATTAGGAGAAACAAATTCAATCTACAGAGTTCAGAAATGCATTAGGGTTTTTGATTTCGAGTACTCGACAGAAAGGGTGGTTCACAAACGGACTCTAACGTGCGCAGGAGTGCGCAAAACGCCGGGGGAAGATGAGACTGCACATGGCGCAGGGTGGACGCGTGGGGATACGGGAAGGCACCACCAGACAGTGAAGAAACAGAAAGACTTCTTTTTCTTTTTTTGGGCTTGGGCCTTGTTGGGTTTGATTCGTTTGAAAATATGATGAAATATGGAGACGGAGTTACGGATATGGTGGGCCATGATACCACGTTATATACTTGCATTAGTATGGATATGGATATGGTGGTTGATGGGCTTGTGCATTGTGCTTCTTCTTTTTCTTTCTTTCTTCTTCTTTTTTTTTTTGTTTTTTTGGTGGAGATTGTTGAAGGCCATTTTTGGTTTTTTAATTTTTGGCCAATGATCTTATTTGATTTAGTCATAGAAAAATTGATAAATGATAAATGAGTTCGTTGTTTTTTCATAACAAAGAATGATATTTATTCTTATTTATTCTTAAAATATTTTTATTAATTAAATCTGAAAAATTATTATTAATTTTCTAATAATTAAATCAAACAAACATTAAAGTTGTTACTTTAAAAGTCAAAGACCAAAATATATATATATGGCGTATCAGTTGGATCAATCAAACTTGTGCTAGTGATATATATATATTATTAACTCTTTAATATCTAAAAATTATATTGAATTATGATTAAACTTGCATATTTCTCCATTTATAAAAATTGAATTCAAAACCTTATTTGAGGAATCAAACTCCCTTTTCACTGTTGTTGATGCTAATGATATATTCGTTTCATATTTTTGTTTTTACGACATTCTTTTAAATACTTTTTACTCTCTCTTTTCAATATTTTTAATAAAATTAATTTACAAAGCAAATTTTTATGTATAGTTTAAGTTATTTTAATTTTAAAATTTCAAGAGGTAGTAATATAAGAAATTTTCCTTTTTCTTTTTTTGTGGTTACAAAATGGAAATAACATAGCCTTAAAGATGTGTAAACAACATAACAGGACAAAATAGTTTCAGCCACATCTTGGTTACAAGAAATTTTCTTTATGATCTTGCAAGAGTTAAGAAACTAAAACAAAATACTACAATTTCATAAAATAAAAAAAAAACAATATACTATAAGAATAATAAAAAATATTATTAAATTTAAACTATGTAAATATAAATTATTTAATAATAAGATAATTTCTTAATACTATATTTTATATCTGACCTGTAAAATAAAGAATTTTAAAAATAAAAATTAAAACACAAGGATAATGGTTTGTGTGAAGCACAGCAAGAATGGAGAGGAAAGTCAAAAGACTGCATCCTGCAGCGCCAAAAAACCAAAAGCCCAAAACAGAACTCTGAAACCAAAATCCGACCCGACACAACATCCAAATACTCCAATTAGGTTTCACTTCCCCCTTTCTAAGTCTTCCACCTCCGACAACGAACTGGACTTGGATTTCAACTGCAACAACAACACAACCTCATCGTAAAATGGCTTCGAAGTTCGTCTTGGCCGGCGGGATACCGGAGCGTCGAGTCCGACCGATATGGGATGCCATCGATTCTCGACAGTTCAAGAATGCTCTCAAGCAAGCAACTACGCTGCTCTCTAAGTATCCGAATTCACCTTATGCTCTTGTAAGATCATTCGCTTCTTGATTTTTTTTTTCTTTTTATAAACGAATCATGGAAATCCAGTGAGCTCGTGCTTGTTTGGTTGCTGAAAATTCTTGGAGCTGTTCGTCTTCTTTAAGTTTAATTTCTAAATGCTTGTGTTTTACTGCGTTTTAATCTGAAATGGTTGTTTTTGTTAATTTACCAATAGTCTTACAATGTTTGCTAGGCCTGCATTTGATGCTGATGTTAGTTTATAATATGACTCTTAGCTGAAGGGAGGGTGGGAGGGATGATTCCTAATGTAAATTACGTTGTAAAATTTAGTTTCTGGAGAGAAAAATGACATGACTTTGAATAGAATGATGATTTTGAGCTCTTCGTTTTGCTTTTTCCTGCATGTTGAGGAACTCTGTTTTTTGCCTCATTAGAGCTAAGGAATATATGTTTTCAAGCAGAGAGCCCAAGATTCTTCTTTTGTGCGATTATGATGGGTAATGAACCTTTCTTCATTTTAGATGCAAAGGCTTGACTTGTCTACCCCATTGTTTGCAGGCCCTCAAAGCTCATGTTCTGGAGAGGATGGGCAAATCTGATGAAGCATTATCCATTTGCTTGAATGCAAAAGAGCTTTTGTACAAGAATGATTCACTATTGATGGATGATCTTACCCTTAGCACGCTACAGATTGTTTTCCAACGACTTGATCACTGTTAGTATATGCCTGAACCTAACTGCTTGTAATAACTAAATTCATTTATGATGCTATTTTATTCTTATACTGCTTTTTTTAAATCAGTGGACTTGGCTACTGCCTGTTATGAGCATGCTTGTGGGAAATTTCCTAACAATTTGGATCTGATGATGGGGCTTTTCAACTGTCATGTTCGTGAGTATTCATTTGTCAAGCAGCAACAGGTTGGTGTTCTCATACTAATTATTCCTTAAATTGCTAGGTGCATTTTGTTGTGTCTGTTTCAAGACTTTGGGCAAGCAGGTTGTTTTTTACTTATTCTGGTTTTTTTTCTGGCAGACAGCCATCAAAATGTACAAACTTGTTGGAGAAGAAAGATTTTTGCTCTGGGCTGTTTGTAGCATCCAATTACAGGTTCTTCTGCTTTGTTTTCAATTGCTTCATTAGTGTTTTTTTTCCCCAAAGATTTTATTTGTTTTCAAATTTTCATTGCTTAGACTGAGTCTATTTATTATCATAGTAGAAAAAAAGTGAATGAAGAGGATGTTATGAACTTATGATTCATCTCAATGCAGGACAATGAGGTTTATCTCATGTAATCCTGACTGCTAAGAAATGCACATTTTGATATATAAGTTGGCATTTAGCAGCTATGTAATCTTTATGTGCAATATTTGTTGTCAAAGTACTTATCTTCTGGGTTCTGAATTTCATTCAGGTACTCTGTGGTAATGGGGGAGAGAAGCTATTACTCTTAGCTGAAGGTTTACTCAAGAAGCATGTAGCTTCCCATAGCTTGCATGAGCCTGAAGGTGTATTAACATTTCGTTTCCTTTTTCTCTATGGGCAACTTGGGAAATAGAGATCGTCTGCCACATTCTATTATGCTTTTAGTCACCCTAAATGTTTGAAATGAATCCAATGCAGCTCTTATTGTCTATATTTCCATATTGGAGCAGCAAGCTAAATATAATGATGCTTTGGAAATTCTGTGTGGGAAATTAGGGTCACTTCTCATGATTGAAGTTGATAAACTAAAGATACAGGTATTGTGAGAAGCGCTATTTTCAGTGGTTATTATCAATGGTTATTCTCAATGATGTCTTCTTCTTCTTCTTCTTCTTCTTCTTTTGATTTTTATCAATAATTATACGTGCACAACCTGGACATGGGTGAAGACAACTTGGAATTTTCGTAATGTTGAGTTTGATTATTATTTGATCTGTTAAAACATGTATGACTAAGAGTGACGCTTCTAGTCTAGGATAACATCAGAACATTCTAAAGATGACATTATTCTGAAGTTTTCTTTTGTTGGTTTCACATTGATTTTTTGGGAATCATTATTTTTTCTAGCTACTTATCGAATTGTTTTCTTTGACTTTAAGTTGACAGGGGAGGCTTCTTGCTAGGGTGGGTGACTATGCAGCAGCCGCCGATATATACCAGAAAATCATTGAATTATGGTATGCATATTGATATGATGAAATTTATGTTGAAATCTCACATCAATTTTGGTGGCAATATATGAGCTTTTTGAGAGTATCATTGTAATTTAATTCACTTTGGAACACACTGTCTCTGATTGTTAATGCTATCCCTTTTGATTGGCAGCCCTGATGATTGGGAGGCTTTCCTATATTTCCTTGGCTGTCTGCTTGAGGATGACAGCAGCTGGTGTGATGAAGCCATTACTGATCTTGTTCATCCACCAAAATTTGTGAAGTGCAAGTTTTCACACTTGACAGATGAAGCTGTATATATTTGTAACTCTTATATATTAATTTCCACCTTTCTACTTGTCATTTACACATTTCATGTGATGCTGTGTGACAATATTTTAACAAAATTTAATTATGGCCAATTTGATTTGCAGTTTGATTCGGGCATATCAAAAGCGACAAATTTTGTAAGAAAGTTACAAGCTGACACTACTGATAATTCTATAAGGGGTCCATACTTGGCAAATCTTGAAATTGAGAGGAGGAAGAAATTGTTTGGGAAGAACAATGAAGATGATTTAGTAGATGCTCTTTTGCTGTACTATTCAAGGTATGTCAGGACTGTAATTTTTATTTTAAAATTTTCATTTGACTATTCTGTGGTTTAATCTTGTTATATCTTGTGCACTTTTAAGCTGAAGTTGGATTGACTATGTTGTTGACCTGGTTTGTTATTCAAAACCTCCCCTTCAAAGAAGAACAATTTGTTTGGTAATGTAGCATTTCCTTGTGTATATGACACAGAGCTTTTTGTTCTTTGACACAGGTTTGGTCACTTGGCCTGCTTCACTTCTGACATTGATTCATTTCTCCAAGTATTATCCTCAGATAAAAAGAGAGATTTTTTGGAGAAGTTAATAAAAAGCTCAAGCCCCCTTTCATCACAGCCGACTAAAGAGCTGGGGCAGTCAATAACAATTTTTAAAATTCAAGAACTGATTGGAAATGTGTACACGTTCTCTGCAAAAGGTGTTTGTCTTGTTTAACCATGCATGAAAAGGAACGAGAATATCTCTTATGTCTTCTTTTCTTAATAGTTCTATGGCATCATTTTTCCTTCTGATCTCTGTTGTACTAATTTCTCTCAACTTTTAGAACTTGAGGATTGTGCCATACAAGCAGCAGAGTTGTACTGTAGAAACCTTCCACTTTCCAAGGATTTAGATCCACAAGAGAGTATGCACGGTGAAGAACTACTTTCAATTGTTGGCAATGTATTAGTTCAGGTAGTTCATTTTCCACCATTTCTTTTTTTCTTTTCCCCCTTTTATTGTATCTATATGTTGGTTTACATTTCTTTTCCTATTTCTGATTCAGCTATTCTGGCGCACAAGAGATCTTGGCTATTTTATTGAGGCAGTGATGGTTTTGGAGTTTGGTTTAACCATCCGAAGGTCAGAAACTAATGGTTTCTCAATTAGATAATCAATTTAAATCAAAACAGTGCTGACTGGTTGTTTTCATTAATTTTTAGTAGAAATTAATTATGTTCCTTGAATGAGAAAACCAACCTTGGTGGCTGCTATATTTTGGTTAGGTCATTGCCTGGAAAATGTATATGATATAGCTTTTTGGCTAAATTGTCAACTTTGGAGATAACATCTGCTGTGCTTATGTTTCGCAGATATGTATGGCAGTACAAGATCTTGTTGTTGCACTTATATTCACATTTTGGTGCCCTTCCATTGGCATATGAATGGTAAGTAGCTAAAGAAATTTTCATGTCAATGATGGAAAAACATATGTTTGTTCAAATGTATGAAAATTTCACTTTATGTTTGCCATAAAAGTCACTTTTCTCTTTTTCAGGTATAAATCTTTGGATGTTAAGAATATCTTGTTGGAAACTGTTTCACACCACATTTTACCTCAGATGTTGGTGTCTCCCCTCTGGGAAGATTTAGATAATCTGCTGAAGGATTATCTAAAGTTTATGGACGATCACTTCAGAGAATCTGCAGATCTTACATTTCTTGCTTATCGTCACAGAAACTATTCAAAAGTATGTACTTACCTCAATAGATATCCCTTTAATGTCTGCCTTGTTTCCTTAAGTCTCTCTCTCTCTCTCAGCTTTGCCACAAAAGCAATCAGATCTTGCACAGGTAGAGAGAGAGAGAGAGAGAGAGAGAGAGAGAGAGGAAGAGAGCAATTAGTTTTTCAGTTTTTCCATTATTTCCTTCTAAGGGGTAGGAGGTAGGGGGATGGGGTCAATGACACTGAGCAGGTTTAAACCTATGTCAGAAGTGCTTATAGCTGGAACACATCAAGGAAAATGTAAAAGACTATTGTCTTTACCATCTGTTTTTCTCATTTCTATTTTCTTCTGGTGTGTGCATATAGATTGTAGAAGTTTTATGGTCAAGTTTTTACCTTAACAATATATATATATATATGCATTAGAACCAATGTAAGACATTTTTGTGACCTTGATTGTTATTTCAGGTAATTGAATTTGTTCAATTTAAAGAGCAGTTGCAACACTCTGATCAATATTTAATGGCAAGGGTTGAAACACCAATTTTACGGCTAAAGCAGAATGCAGATAACATTGAAGAAGAGGAGGTCAGTCATCAGTAACACTCAAGCAATAAATTCTTGCTGATTTGGTTCATTTGATACCAGATTTAATGTTTTATTATCATTCTTCCAGCATATACTTGAGAGCTTAAAGTGCGGAATTCACTTTGTTGAGCTCTCTAATGAGATTGGATCTAAACCACTGACCTTCAATCAAGATTTTCAGTCACGACCTTGGTGGACACCAACTTCAGAGAAAAACTATCTTTTAGGTTGGTATAACAAGCTCACTCTCTTGCTTTCTCAACCCCTTCCGTTTTTTTGGTCTAGTAATGGAACCATATTGATTTTATTATTATTATTTATTTCACTTTTTAGGTCCATTCGAAGGAATCTCCTACTACCCTAGAGAAAGCAGGGTATTGTACTTGCCCATTTCTTTTTTATTCACTCGTGTACTGGTTTTAGGATAAAATGTTGTTCCAGCCTTCCAGGGTTTTGTTTATGGCAGTTTCTCTGTATATCCTTCCCTTCCCTATGCTTCTATAATTTGAATCTGTCTTGGCTTAGTGTAGATAAAAGATAAGGAAGCAAATGTAAGGAGAGCTACTGAGAGGAAATCACTTCTTCCTCGGATGATATATTTGTCTATTCAGAGTGCTTCAACATCAGTTAAGGGAAACATTAAAGCAAATGGTTCTATATCTGATCCTCAAATTTCCTCAGAGCTGAAGTCTTTACTAGACTGTTATGCAAAAATGTTGGGGTTTTCCTTAAGTGATGCAATAGATGCTGTTACAGGGGTGTCCAGTGGTGTAATGTCTTCTGAGGTATTGTTACATTGCTACCATCCCTATGCATTATTACTGTGTCAAGGGCCAATGCTCATATGAGGTCATTCTTGTAACCATTTTTGCTGAGTTTGGCAAGCTGTGCTTCTATGTTTGGTTTTGCAACTTTATTTTGTTCTACAGAAGTCAATTTATTATAAATAAACAAATAAATAAATTTCCAAAAGTGCTTTTTTAGCAAACTTAACTTAAATTACCTCAGGCAAAATTAACTTCTATGTTGGATGCAGGCTTTTCATTCAGATGCAGTTGACTGGTTGAATTTTGCTGTATTCTTAAATGCGTGGAATTTGAATTCTCATGAGCTTGTGCAGCAAGATGGAGGGCATTCTGGATTCAGGAGTTGGCATATGGTAAATTCCCTGCTAGAGAAGTATATACTGGCAAAGGTCCGATCCATGGAGCCTCTCATTCGCTCTCCACAATGTGTTCTTCCAATATTAGTGCAGCTGGTTACCGAACCACTTTCTTGGCATTGTCTCATAATTCAGTCTTGCGTGCGATCATCTCTTCCATCTGGAAAGAAGAAGAAGAAGAGTGGACATGCAGATAACTCTATGTCATCACTGTCTCATGCGGTTCGGGATGCTATACAATCTTCATGTTGCATAATAGAAGAGGTAGCAAAATGGTTAAGAGATCAGATAAACCAGCCAGAAGACAAAAATGTGGAATGCATACTCTCCTCTCTATGGCCAACAGGACAGGAGGAAGGGCCTGGCAAGGTTTTCAAAATCTTGGAAACTTTGATATCTTCAGTTGATGAGACAGAACTTGGTGATAGGATCTCACAAGCTTTAAGGTCTTGGAGTCATGTTGATGTTGCCAGGAAAATAGTAAATGGGCAGCATACAGTACTCTCTGAATTTCTTCGCATTTGTGAATCAAAATTTAAATCATTAGAGTCCTTGAAACAGCAGATTGCTCAGGTCTGAGGAGAGACTATTGGCAACAAAACCAAACTTTCTCGTGTTATATTGGTTCATTGTGATGTGAGATTCATGCTGGTTTCTTTTCAAGCATTAGGCCTGCAACCATTGCCAGATCCAATGCTTAGCCTCATGGCCAACTACGCAACAGATGAGAATGTAAGGTTTGAATTCTTTTATTAACGGTTTGTTGTTTTTCTACCTTAACCTGGAGGTTTTGATGTGAGATAGTTGTGATTTTCAGAGTCCTCAACAGTTTTGGTATAGACTGTACACTAAATAAACCATTTTTCCCCATCCAGTAATATTTTCAAAATCTTTCCGCCTTGCAAATCTGCAATTTGAATCTATGATTCCATAATGTTATGTTCCAGTAATTGCATTCTGTTAATTGTAGGAGTATGAATGAGATTTGCCCTGATAGACGTACTCTTTTTTTTTATTACATCTCATAGACATACTTTGCATTTGTATGAACGGTTCTGAAACTGAATCTGTTTGTCAAAGGCATGATGTGTGTGGTTTTTTGGCCATAATGATGTGTGTTCGTTAGAATGAATGAGATTTGCCGTGGAATTTTGGTTTCTATTTTTTATATTTTTTTTATCAGTTGAATAATTTGTACTTACTTTTAATTATCAGAAGTCAGAAGCTGGTTACCTAATTTTTTTCATAATCATCGGAATATTGGGTTTAAATTGTGGGAAGCAAACCTGCTTCATTTCCATATGAAACACCTATACTACTACACGTCTATGCCAGTAATTTTCAGTTTGTTAGAGTCAGTGCCTTTTAGGTTTCATTTGAGAATGGCTTGCACCAATCTCTTTTACATGGCACATCATTTTAAAATATAAATTTATTACTTTAAATTTATTTTAATTATTTCTATATATTGTTACTAATTTTAATTAAGATTATTTATATTTTTAATTTGGTTGAAGAGCTGCTGATCTTGGCGTCAAGTTTAATGAATTTCTCTGCCTTGCCATACAAAAACAACCACTAGTCACATTTTGATTGATGGATTGTTAGAATGTTCTTATTATATTTTCAATGAATGAATCAGAAACGGTGGTGAAGAGGGGAAAGTGCTGAGGAGGGGATAGTTTATATGATTGCTTTTATTATTATATAGAATTGATGTGTTGAAAAAATTTATGATGACTTAATAATAAGTAGCAAGTCTGCTGGAGAATTTGACAATAATAAGTAGCAAGTCTGCTGGAGAATTTGACCCTGTGACGTCCATAGACTTTGAATCAACCCTTCTCTGAAGAGAAAAGCAGAAGGATGAAACAACTTCTCCCCCTGCCCAACCCAAACCAAAGCCGTCTTTTGATCTTGAATAACTAAATTAAAAATGGTTGCATAATGAGACGATGAATGTTAGTGAAGCTAGAGAAAGGACACTTTGAGTCATTGCTTGCGTAGGGTTTGAACAAATTTTCATTGTTCTTTTTTTTATTAATCTCTTGATATTCAGTAATTATATTGAATTATGATTAATTTAAAATCAAATTATGTTCAACCTTATAAAAAGAAATTTTTTTAGCGTTATTTTTCATTAACAAGACTCGAACTCAAGTTTTTGTTTTAAGAAAATCAAATTCTTTTTATTCGGATTAACAAGTCATTGGTAATTTTAATCATTCTTACTTATCATAAGATTTAACCTTTGAAAATGATAACCATAAACACCTTTTCCTTCCTTAATCTCTAGTTTTTTTTATACGACCAATAAAGGAATTTTCCAATTTTTGACCCTAGGAATAAATAACTTGAATGCAACCTGCATTTAGTAGCATAAAATACAAAGATGAAGAGTTGAAACTGCTACAGACGCACGATGCACGCAAGTGAGATTTTAGCGCACAGAAGCTGTCATTTTTAAGTGTACTTAATTTCTAACAAATGTACTTAATTTCTAACAAACGAAATTTTCCTGCCTAGTGGGTGCACCAAATCCTCAGTATGGTTGGATTGCACTGTGCTTTTATAAAACCGACAAGTTTTAAGTCTTCATGTTGATATAAAACCTACTTTGCCATAAACATATTTATTTTCAAATTTATAATGTACTTGCTAGATCATTGTCCTCTCCCCATTCTCCTAATATAAATATAAATAGCTGCTACCCCACTCTCTTGGTCCCAACCCACACTTAATTCCTTCACTTAACCAAGAAAGCAATGGGGCCTCACAGCCTTAATGTCAAATCTTTCTTTGGCATTCTTTTAATCTTTGCCTTCTTAACTTGCTTCGCCATTGCAGAGATTCATTACCATGGATTTGTTGTATGCTTTCTTAGCCTTTATTTTGTTTCCACTCTGGCTAGGCTAGACAGTGAAGATAAAGTTGATGATTTTATGTGTTCTGTTTCTTTGGAACAGATTGAATCCAAGCCAGTGAAGAGGCTGTGCAGAACCCATGAGACAGTGACGGTAAATGGGAAATTTCCAGGACCAACATTGGAAGTGAGAGATGGAGATTCCCTGGTGATCAAAGCTATAAACAAAGCTAAATACAATGTCAGCTTGCACTGGTACTTCAACAACATCGTACATTTAATTAATTGAAAAAATAAAAAGAAAGAAAAGGGTGGAGATAACTTATTAACATCAAAATCAATTGCTTGCATTCCCTCAATCAGGCATGGAATCAGATTGCTTCGGAATCCATGGGCAGATGGTGCAGAACACGTGACGCAGTGCCCTATCAGACCTGGAATGTCTTATACATACCGTTTCACCATTCACAATCAAGAGGGGACTCTCTGGTGGCATGCTCATAGCAAATGGCTTAGAGCTACAGTTTACGGAGCTCTTATTATCTACCCCAAATTAGGCTCTCCTTATCCCTTCCCAATGCCCAGGAGGGAAATCCCTATTCTTCTCGGTAACATTTTTCAGATTTTTTTCATCTTGATCAAAGCACTCGTTGTAGCACACATGCATGAGAAAATTATGTAAATCATCTTAAATTTTAACAGGAGAATGGTGGGACAGAAACCCCATGGATGTTCTGAGGCTGGCAACTTTCACAGGAGCTCCTCCAAATTTGTCAGATGCATATACAATTAATGGACAACCGGGGGACTTGTACAGATGCTCCAACAAAGGTATATTTGGGCTCTCCAGTTTTCAATTCCTGATAAAACCTGAAACAAAAATACAGTTTTCTACATCAAAACTCTAAAATTAATATATATCATGCAGAAACGGTGAAATTTCAAGTGAAATCTGGTGAGACAATTCTGCTGAGGGTCATCAACTCTGCCATGAATCAAGATCTCTTCTTTGGGGTGGCCAATCACAAGATGACTGTTGTGGCTGTGGATGCCTCATACACCAAGCCTTTCACCACCAATGTAATCATGATAGGTCCCGGTCAGACCACCAACGTCCTTCTCACTGCTGATCAGCCTCCAGCTCGATACTACATGGCAGCGCATGCCTATAATTCTGGCAATGCAGCGTTTGACAATACCACCACCACAGCCATCCTCAAATACAAATCCACAAAGAGAAGACAGTCTTCCAAGCCAATCTTCCCACAGCTGCCAGGGTTCAACGATACAGTCACTGCCATAGCATTCACTTCGCAGCTAAGGAGCCATTCCAAGGTTGATGTTCCAGTCCATATTGATGAGAGATTGTTCATCACAGTGGGGTTAGGCCTGATCAACTGTCCGAACCCAAACAGTCCCCGGTGCCAGGGTCCAAATGGAACCCGATTTGCAGCCAGCATGAACAATGTTTCCTTCATTTTCCCAAGAAGGAACTCTTTAATGCAAGCATACTACCAAGGCCAACCTGGTGTCTTCACCACAGACTTTCCTCCAGTTCCTCCTATCCAATTTAATTACACTGGCAATGTCAGCCGCAGCCTCTGGCAACCTGCTCCGGGAACTAAGCTGTACAAGTTGAAGTTTGGTTCCAAGGTACAGATTGTGTTCCAGGACACGAGCATTGTCACAGTTGAGGATCATCCTATGCATACTCATGGATACCAATTCTATGTTGTCGGTAGTGGGTTTGGAAACTTTAACCCAAGATCAGATCCGGCCAAGTTCAACCTTGTTGATCCACCAGAGAGGAACACCATTGGCACTCCTCCTGGTGGATGGGTAGCCATCAGATTTGTTGCTGATAATCCAGGTAAAATAACTAAAACTTCTAAAATATATAAACGCACTTCTGCTTTCTTGCACAAAAACTGATGTTTTTGATTTACTGACCTGGTTGGAAAAAGGAATCTGGATGATACATTGTCATGTAGACGCTCACCTAACCTGGGGCTTGGCCATGGCTTTCCTGGTTGAAAATGGAGTTGGGGAATTGCAGACGGTGCAACCTCCACCACTGGATCTGCCACGGTGTTGAGAAAGCATGACTGGCTATTCAAGTCTGATAATCTCAGTCCTGAATGTGATGTTTCACTACAGTCCTTAGATATAGATAGACCAGGATTTCTATGGCTGAATTGAGTGTATTGTTTTCAAATTTAAATAATGGGATTTCAAATAATAAAAGAACCATCTTCTTTTCAGAAATGAATCTATCATTAACAATTTAACAACAATCCATATACATTGCTATAGAAAACAAAGCAATCTCAAGAAACCTACTAAGACCTAGGAGAAAATAAAGCCAATTCAGCATCTACTCCGTTATATAAGCTCTTTTATCCTCTGTTTCTGGCATTTGAGAAAATTATTGTGTTCAAAGACTTAACAATTCAGGCAACAAATTTTAGACATCGAGTATCATTATGTATGTTTTGGCAACGGCACGAGCAAAATCTCATTCCACATGTTACACAGGTATAGTTGGCAGTAAAGCCACAAACACTGCAGAAATGGCGGCGAGAGGTAGAACTTGGAGGTCCAACTGCTGCCCTCAAGTAGGATGGAACGTGTGGAGGCAAGGCTTCAAGGTTTGCCTATTTCCATTACAGGAATACTTACATTAGCTAGTGAGGCATACATAACCATATAAAGTAGAAACCCAATTATCCATATATAATTTCTTTATTTCTTTCTTTCCTTTTTTACCTCATGTAAAAGTTCAAGAAATGTTCTTGGGGCCTTTCTAGCATTTTCAAGTGCTTTTGCCTGCCGGGTTTTCCTTTTTGTGCCCTTGGCCAGTTTCTTTTGCATGTATACTGCATATGGAAGATCCAACCAAGTTTTAGAGAATCACAAACACAAATGAAAAAACACTCACAATGAAAAGGACATGACAACCTTCCAACGCCAGCATTTGAATTTGTAGAGCAAACAATTGACAACAAGTTATAAATACACCCATTGTCATTAACAACTGCCTCAACTTCAAATCACACCAAAAGGTTCTTTTGTTTTGTTTTGTTTTTTTTCTTCCAATTTTACCAGTAAATAATGAAATGTTAAAAATTAATCCTTCAAAAAAATAAATAAAAGAAATAATTTGCCCCAGACCTACCTTGATCATCATCGTCAAGAGAAGCCTCGTCGTCGTCATTAATCTCCACCGTCTCTATCCCCGCATTATCATTTTCCAGAGCTTCCAGCCGAGCAAGAGCCGCCTAACAGAACCAATTTCCCAACCCTAAATGGCTAAATCCACAATTCCTTACGATTTTAACAAAATGAATACATACCTGGTTTCGATTGTCAGTGCTGCCGAGCGCAGCAGCCATTTTAGGAGCAACTTTACGAGTCCGGCTCGACATTCTCCGTAAAGGGTTTGCACTGTCATCATCCATGGCTGCAAAATCCTATCCTTCAACTGCCAATTTTAACTAAGAGTTGAAAAATCCAAAGAAATCGATTAAATACTATGAAGAAAGACATGATTTTTTAAAATTTAATCGGATTGAAAATATTAATATCTATGAGAATCTAACCGGAAAGGAAGCAAAGAGCAGCAGCACCGATCGTCGGAGCAAGACGAGAGGAGCAAGGCGGAGACGGAGAGTGGCAATTCTGTCAAGTAACATACCATTAAACTGGTCTTCGACGTTAAATAGGCCCAGACCCAAGCCCATACATACATAAAGGTCTTTTGAGCTGGAGCCATCGGGCCAGGCTAAAAATACATTTGCATGTATAAAAAGTCCAAAATGAAAATGAAAATGAAAATTAGAACATGCTAATATTTTTTTAGTGTTAAAATATTTAATTACAATTATGAAATATATGGAATATGAAATAGAACTTGGGTCTCAACTTTGTTACTTTATCAAGTGGTTGTTATTAAAAGTCTTAAAACTATTAATATCAAGATATCTTGATTTTTTTTTAAAGTATGATTGATGTTGGTTTTAGTTAGGATGTTGTGAAAAATCATGCTGTCTTTTCCATTAAAAATGAGAAATTTTCTAATCAAAACAATAAGATGGATGAGATATACCATAGATCACACTTAAATTTCATCTACC